ATGGGGAACCCATCTGTCCTTTCTGCTGATGCCTCTTGGCCCACCCATCATCTGCCAACAGGGCCGGTGCCTTGCAATGCAGATGAACAGAAGTTGCATCAAGAACCTTGATTCCTGGATAGACGGAACAGCCCTGGTTATTGCAGTAATTTGAGCAGGACAGATGCAGACGTGAGACTCTCACCTGGGCACCTGCAGGCCAAGCTGGGCCATCACATCCAACAGCTGAGATGGAAGTGTTGCCTTTTCTGGCCACTCTCCCCCAGGAATGGGCGGACACACACACACACACACACACACACACACACACACACACACACACACAGTGGCCTATGGTTTGGCTCATGCAGGGGCCTGGCCCTGCTGTGGTGCCCTGTGCTAGTCCTTCAAAGTGTTGCAGATGTTGGATGTTCTGTGGGCTGCTCATTCTTTCTGCTCAGCACTTTGTCCCCGCGCCCCCACAGAAAGGCGGGGACACACACACACACACACACACACACACACACACACACACACACCACACACACACACAGTGGCCTATGGTTTGGCTCATGCAGGGGCCTGGCCCTGCTGAAGTGCCCTGTGCTAGTCCTTCAAAGTGTTGCAGATGTTGGATGTTCTGTGGGCTGCTCATTCTTTCTGCTCAGCACTTTGAATACATGACCCCTTGTCTGGTTCTGTCCCTGGGAAATGGCCCACTAACTTTTGGATCAATTAGTACACCACTGGGCCAACACTGACTATCACTAATGAGGTCAGCTAGACCTGGTCTCTCCCAGGAGCCAGGTCACCAGCTGCTCATTCAGAGCCTGGCTTGAACTGGTGGAGTCCCCTGCTGTCCTGTTCCTAATGCAGTAGCCCTTGACTCTTGTGTTGCAGGGTAGGTGGGGAGCCTCCGTTTGTTTTAGTGGCTACAAGATCCCTCCCACACTTCTCTAGGTTTCTTTCTCTCAACCTCCCTTCCACCCTTAAAAAGTCAAACAAGGCCAAACATTCTACCAAATGCTAGCAGCTCCTGGCTTCAATTTCAGCTGCTGCGAGGGTTCACCAAAGAGAAATCCTGTTCACACGTAACCTACAATTTAAGCTGGATAACCCAAAACATATGCTCTAAAGTTGGGGCCCTCTTGTCCCCTTTCACGCAAGCCCAGTGGATGTTTTCTTCTGGAAAGCTCTGGGGCAGGTCCTCTCTGGCTCCCCTCCCTCTGCTCTGCACTGCAGACGGTCACCCTCCAGCCTGGTGTTGTGGCCCACCCTTGTCTGGATGGTCTTTTCTTGAGGTAGTTTCTCCTGGCATCTGCATGCCCCAACTCTCTGAGGGCCACCCAAGGGCTGGCTGCCTTCCTCTGACATTTGGGGAGCTGACACTGTCCCCACAGGGGTGGCTTTGGGGAGGAGGGGGTGTTTGGACTCTGCTGAGACTGTGGTGTCAGGTGCACTTGCAGGAGATGAGTATGTTGGAGACTTGGCTCTGGGTGGATGAGATCCCTGGGGGTGAGAAGACAACTGGGCCTTGGGCTTAGAGGCTGAGCAGAGGAGGAGGAGTGGGCAGTCAGAAGAGGAAGGCCGGCAGTGAGCTAGGGCTGGAAAGGGGAGTGCTTCAGAATGCTGTGTTTGGAGGACTGGGACACAGTAAAGGGACCAAAGGAACATGGAAGGGCTGGAGGTTGGTGACAGTGATTTCAGAGGGGACCCAGGGCCCAGTGATGGGATGCCTTGCAGCAGAGGCTGTCAGAAGGCCACGTGATGATGTGGGGATGGCATGGTGAGGACAGCTTGAGGCCCTGAGATGGAATTTTCCTACCCAGGCAGCTGCATGCATGAGGAGGGGTGGGAAGAGAGAAGGCAAGGAAAGGGGAGGTTTCCCACAGAAGGCTTTGTGTATAACCTTGTGGCTTGTGAGTTGACAGAAAGTTCTTAAGGGAGAGCTCAGGGTGGAGGCTTGGAGCTCAGAGAGGAGTTGGGGCCTTAAAGGGAGGAGGCAGAGAGAAGGTTCCTCAGTTGGTGGAGGATTCCTGGAGCTGAGAGCAGCTAGGGATGTCTGTATTTAAGGGAGTGGGTGTCAAGTTGCTATAGGAGATGGGTGGTCAGGGACCATCAGGGAGATGTGGGGTGTTGTTCCAGTGGAACAGCTGTTAATCTTTGGTGTGGTATATATGTACCTGATGTAGATGTTGGGGTGGGTGGTGTGAGGTGGGTGTTTGACAACTACACACATTAGGAGGTGGTGGGGTGTGCTTGCTATGGGTGAGGGTACAAGGTAGACAGGTGTCTGTTGGAGGTAAGTCCCTGCTGGGTAGGGTGGCTTGGTGGCATCTGTGCTGATGAGGCTATGCTCCGGGGAGGGCCTATTTCAGACTTGAAGCCTTCTTTGCTCAGTTGACTCTGTTGTCTAGAGGAGCAACAGGTCTCTTGTTCCTGGAGGAAGCCAGGAGGGTCGTGGTGACCTCTGGTCCCAGAGTAGTTTTCAGTGATAACTGACACTTACAGTGACACTGTGGTCAGTGGTGGTCAATGTGCTACATCAGACACTTTTCTGAGCATGTTACAGATAGGCCATCATATGTGCTGTCATATGTGCCCTCCCCACCCTTGGGGCTGTTGCTGAAACAAGAAACCATAAGGGGGTGGCTTAACAGCATCTCTGTGCAGTCCTGTGGTCTGGATGCTGGTGTTCTAGTCAGAGTGACCCAGCTAAAGTCATGGTATTGCAAGGCTAGGTTTTTCCAGAGGCCCTGGCATATCTGTCCCATGACTCAGGTCTTGTCCTTGGGTCCTCCAGACCCACATGGTTGTCTCTACTGACTGACCCCTGGGCCTCAGGATTCCATGAAGCCCCCCAAATGACCAGGACCATCTGTCTTCATCTCAAGATTCTTCACTTGAGCTCAGCTGCAAAGTCCCTTTGGCTGTGGTTGTGGGAGAGATGTGCATGAGTTCTGGACATTAGAGTGCTACATATCAGGGGACAGAATTCTCATCAGACCCTGGAGATCCAATGTGAAGGTCTTAAAATACACTTTTTGTTTCTGTTCAGTATGGGATGGAACCCAGGGCCTCTCATAGGCTAATCATTCTCTGAGTTGGGCTATATCCAGCCCTAATGTGTACATTTCATTGATCAATAATAAAATATTAAATTACAAAATTAGCACCACTTAGATGTTAAATAATGTAGCATTTTATAAATTGTTCTTTCTTTACTCATGTGTCAAAAATGATTCTTCTAAGACATGCACCCTTGTACCGTGCTCTCCTGTCCCTGGGCCATGCTTGATTTGTTGCCGCCCTTCCCGTTGCCTCTAGCTGCTCAGCCTTTGTGCGTCTGCAGATCATTTGAGTCTGTTTGTGATTCTGTTACTGGAAACTTTATACCAAAATGCAGGATGTCTTCCGACAATGTTTTAGCAACATGTTCTGTAAACATCAAGCTTGCCTTGTATAGGTTTGAATCTTTACAACATAACCACCTACTGTTGCCTTTTTTTTTTTTTTTTTTAATACAGAAATCCTCCTGCCTCAGCCTCCCACGTACTGGGATTATGGGTGTGAATGTATGGATATTTATTGTTTTGTGTATGTTATATATGTGTGTGTAAATGTTTATATGTGCATGTGTATGTGCAGGTATGTATGCATGTGTGCATGTACACATAAAGGCCAGAGGTCAACACTGGGTGTCTTCTTCAGTCACTCTCCACCTTATTTCTTGTGACAGGGTCTCTCACTGAACCTAGAGCTTGCCAATTAGGCTGCACTACTTGGCCATCAAGCCCCAGGGATCTGCCTCTCTAGCACTAAGATAACAGGCACACACTGCCATGCCTACTTTTATATGCAGGTGCTGGGGATTGAACTAAGATCCTTGTGCTTGTGCAGAAAGTCCTTTATCAACTGAGCCATCTCCCCAGCCCCTGTATTTCTTTTTAAAGTGGTCTTGAAAGAATCTTGAGTAGTAGAGAGTTCTCACAGCAGTGGCCACCCAGGAGAGACCCACATGCAGGAGATGGTGCCTGGCTTGACTGATGGGAAGGATTCCCTGTGGCCTTCTCTGGCTGTGTACACAATGTGGATTATACCCACACTTGCTTTCCTTTGGAAGTCTGGAGTTTGGTATATACTACATAGAGGGTGCCACTGTATCCCCCCAACAACCCTGGACTCCATAGCTGAGCTATTTTGCTGACCACACATCATTGCTTGAGGGATTTAGATGTGTCCTGTGTGACCGTCCTGAGAGAAGATTCTACATGCCTGGGTTCCTAAGCATCCATTCCCTGTGATTTTCCCTCTGCTGATTTTACCTTGAGTTCCTTCCTTGGGGACCCTGAAACAGGTCTCGTTTTTATGAAGTCATGTCCCTTCTTCCCCAGAGCCTTCTTGGAGGTGCTTTTCACTTTGACAGCAGGGTTCTTTTTTAAAATATTTTATTTATTATTTTATCTGTACGAGTGTATTGCCTGCATGTATGTGAGTGCACCTGTGTCGTGCAATGCTGCGGAGGTCCGAAGAGGCTGTTGGATCTCCTAGGACTGGAGTTATGGACAGTTTTTAGCTGCCTTATGGGTGCTGGGATTTGAACCAGGCTGTTTTGCAAGAATGACAATGTTCTTAATTGCTGAGCCATGGCTCCAGCCCCAACAGCAGGTATTTTTTTTTTTAAATTATTGATCTTTTTGAGACAGGGTCTCCCTGTAGCCCAGCTGTCCTGGAACTCACTATGTAGACCAGGCTGGACTTGAAGTCACAGAGATCCGCCTGCCTCTGCCTTTGGAGTGCTGGGATTAAAGGCGTGTGCCACCACTCCCGGCCCAACAGCAGGTTTTTAGCCCAGCACTAGAGTCACTGTTTAGACCCTGTTTTCCCACACCTTGGCATTTATGTGGTGACCTAGAGACACTTGTGGTGGTTTGTTATGAACCTGGTAGGGGTCAGGTAATACCAGTAAGAGATAGAAATGTGGGATCCTCAATAACAGGCTATTTGCTTTTCCTTCTCAGGGTATCATTTGGAGAAAAAAAACTGAGTAGCATCGAGCACTCCTTGAAACATGGATCCCCTGGAATAATGCGACATGCTGGTGGCCTTGACATTGTACCAGGATGTACAGGGCTGGGGAGCCAGGGAAGCGGCCTGGTCCTGCGCCCCGTGTGCGGAATGTGGAAGTGGCCCGAGGCAGAGCTGGCTATGGCTTCACCCTGTCTGGGCAGGCACCCTGTGTGCTCAGCTGCGTCATGAGGGGCAGCCCTGCAGATTTTGTGGGCCTCCGGGCTGGAGACCAGATACTTGCCGTCAATGAAATCAATGTGAAGAAGGCTTCTCATGAAGATGTGGTGAAACTAATTGGAAAATGCTCCGGGGTCCTGCACATGATGATCGGTGAGGGCATTGGCCGTGTGGAGTCCTGTTCCAGTGATGAAGAGGGTGGGCTTTATGAGGGGAAAGGCTGGCTGAGGCCCAAACTGGATTCTAAAGCATTGGGTATAAACAGGGCAGAAAGGGTCATGGAAGAGGTGCAGTCTGGTGGGATTTTCAACATGATTTTTGAAAGTCCAAGTCTTTGTGCAAGTGGCCCTGAACCCCCGAAGTTGAAGCAGAGGTCACTATCAGAGTCAGCGGCTGTGCGACCTGATGTTCAGGACAGTCTGTGTGCTCCGCATTCCAGCATGCTCTCAAAGGAGGAGCTATCAAAAGATACCAATGATGATTCAGTGTTCACTGTGGGGCTGGACAGTCACGATGATTTTGGGCTAGATGCAAGTATCTTAAACGTTGCCATGGTTGTGGGCTATTTGGGCTCCATTGAGCTCCCTTCCACGAGCTCCAACCTGGAGCAGGACAGTTTACAGGCCATCCGTGGTTGCATGCGCCGCCTGAGGGCTGAACAAAAGATACACTCACTGGTGACCATGAAGGTCATGCACGACTGTGTGCAGCTGGTCACTGACAGGGCTGGCGTGGTGGCTGAGTACCCTGCCGAGAAGCTGGCGTTCAGTGCAGTGTGCCCAGATGACAGACGGTTCTTTGGGCTGGTCACCATGCAGACCAATGACGATAGAGCCCTGGCCCAAGAGGATGAAGGTGCCCTGAGAACGTCCTGTCATGTGTTCATGGTGGACCCAGACTTATTTCATCACAAGATCCACCAAGGCATTGCCCGGCGGTTTGGGTTTGCGTGCACGGCAGACCCAGACACCAGCGGCTGTTTGGAATTCCCAGCATCCTCTCTCCCTGTGCTTCAGTTCGTCTCTGTCCTGTACCGAGACATGGGTGAGCTAATTGAGGGTGTGCGGGCCCGTGCATTCCTGGACGGGGATGCCGATGCCCACCAGAACAACAGTACCAGCAGCAACAGTGACAGCGGCATTGGGAATTTTAACCAGGAAGAGAAGAGTAACAGGGTGCTTGTGGTTGACTTGGGTGGGGGCTCCAGCAGGCACGGCCAGGGCAGCAGCCCAGGGTGGGAAGGTGTGAGTGGGAGGGGCTCACAGCCTTGGGGTGCACCCTGGAATGGGGCCTTTTGCCATGACCCAGAGGTGGGCTCCCTCTTCGAGACAAGCCCCCAAATGGACAGGTTCTGGGACTTAACAAAACCTTCAGGACCGGCCTCCCACATGGAGGTCTCCCCAGCTGCCTTGCGGAGTTCTGTACCCCCTTCCAAGAGAAGCACCATGGGCTCCAGCTGTGGTTTCAACCAGCGGTGGCTCCCAGTCCACGTGCTGCAAGAGTGGCAGTGTGGACATGCCAGTGACCAAGAGTCTTACACAGACTCCACTGATGGGTGGTCCAGTGTCAACTGTGGCACATTGCCCCCCCCCATGAGCAAGATTCCTGCAGACCGCTATCGGGTGGAAGGCAGCTTTGCACAGGCCCCATTGGGCACACAGAAGAGGGACTGGTCCAGAAAGACTTTTGGAATGCAAAACATTTTTGGGCCCCATCGAACCATTAGAAAGTCCAAAGAAGACAAGAAGGTAAGCTGGAGGGAGTTGAGGAGGAATGGCCTCTCTGTAACTTAACCAGCTGCCACGCACAGCCCTGGCTTCTTTCTGGTGCTCTTGCAGCGTCTGCCAGCTGTCATGCCAAATCTGCTGTGCCCTGTGCTCAGGTGTTTGCCCTGTGCTGCAGCCTCTGTCTTGTCCTGAGCCCTGGCTCTAGGCTGTTCTTTGGACTGGTCCTGTCAGGACATCTGTGCCGAGCAGGAGGAAACATAGGAAAGGTGACTTCTCATAGCCTGGGGAGGGCCTCCTTGCCTAGCTCCTGGCTGTGGTGGTGGCTGGAGGGCTGCTTTCCTGCAGTCCCTTTGAAGCCTATTTTATTTCTGACCCCAGAGTTGACATCCCAGTGTCTGAGGTGAGAGATTTTGCAAAGCATATTGAACTGGCTCACTTTGGGGAAGTCCTTCTGAACTGGCCCAGGCTCCTTGCCTACAGCAGATGGGGCCCTTGACAAGCTGCATTGCCCCAGAGAACCTGATCTGTCAGTGGCCAGTGTCCCTCTGGACCTTCGCCTTCCTATGGGAGCTAAGTTTGGAACATGAGAGGAAAATATGAGAGAACCAGCCTCTGTTCTCCAAGACTTTGTTCAGCGAAAAGTGGTGCACTATGGGTCCAAAGATGCTGTTTGGGATCAGGGTATGCTGGCCACAGTGAGGGTCAGTCAGCATTTCCCTCCTTGTTTGCATTGAAACTGTTCTTAGATGCTTGTGTTAAAGTGCCTTTTTTTGTATTTGCGCATATTTCGGTTCTTGATAGTGAAAAATCTCCCATCCAAGCCCTCTAAAGCCTATTGGCTAGTCAGGGAAGGCGTCGAGCAGAGGTTGTGGCTGCCACATTGGTGAGGATTTGTTGATTTGTTCTCCAAAGCCTTTTTCATGATGACCCTCATCAGAAACAGAAGGGTGGATGTCCTGTGGCTGCCACCCCAGATGGCCGTGGACAACACTGATGCAGCAAAGTGCAGACTTAAGACAAACAGCAAATAAAGTGATCCTATGAGTTTTCATGTGGGGGTTGACCCATTCCTGAGTATGCTCAGTTAAGGAGTTCATCCCTCAGCATGCTCAGTTTAAGGTCATGGAGCACATACTTAAAAGATTAGCTGGGCGTGGTGGCGTATGCCTTTAATTCCAGCACTTGGGAGGCAGAGGCAGGCGGATCTCTGTGAGTTCAAGGCCAGCCTGGTCTACATAGTGAGTTCCAGGACAGCTGGGGCTACAGGGAGACCCTGTCTCAAAAAGACCGAAACAAACAAACAAAAAATTAGCGTCTCTGGGCATGTTCAGCTTGCACCCTAAAAGTTTTAGATGAAAATAAAGGACAAGAGACTTTGTAGGTACACAATCCCAGGAGTCTGCTTCTAAAAGTGGCTCCTGGCTTAGTAGTTAACCGTCTCTTTTGTATGTGGACTCCCTTATCTCCCCCCACCCCACGAGTGTTCTGAATTTACCTTTCTGTCTCCCCCACTATGGAGTGTCAGGAGTACTGCTGGGTGCTGGTCTGTGGGGCACTGGCCTTGGGTGAGGGTAGGTAAGGGGCCCTAGAAAGTGGCTTACCTGTTACTTGAAGTTAGGAAATTTACCATGTCTCTGAATACTATTTACAAGGTATCCTGCAGTGGTGCTGGGTAAGTGACAGGAAGTCATAGTGCTTGGCTTTCGAAGGGTGCACCTTTTGCACACATCCCTGTGAAGCTAAAGTGACTTGTGCACTGTGGAGTGTCTGTAGACAGATGGTGTCGCACACCTCTATACGAGTGAATTGACTGGTCCTCAAGTGGCTGTTGCCCTGAAGAGGGTTTAACAGATGGGAATGAGCAGGGCTGTGAGCTGAGCTTGGGTGTCTGACTCTCAGCTGAACAGATGCTCTGAGTATGAGGGTGTTAGTGGTTGCAGCTTGTGCTGAAACCACTAGGAGAATGTTGTGCTTCTGCAGAACAACATCATCTGCACTGCTGGGCGCAATGGCCACACATGGCTTTGTGGACCGTGGACTACTGTTATTCAGATTCTTGGGCTGGGCAGATGGTGGGTGGGTGTTGGCACTTGGGCTGACCAGGGCTGCATGTTGATCTGCAAGGGGACTACTCTCATAGAGCAGTGTCCCTGATGGCAGGTGGTAGCAGCTCATGTCCTCCAGGCTGCTGCTGTTTCTCCCCCTATCTCTGCTGCTGCCTACTTCGCTAAAAAGGTTTGTTCCTATATGTGTGTAGTGCCATGCCACAGCCTCTCAGGTGGGTTGTAGAAGCTCTAGGGCTATGAGGTAGGTCCTCACATACCTGCTAGCCGGCATGGTGGCCCACCAAGGCAGCAGTGACTGACCCATTGCCATCAGGGCCACCACCTGGTTGCTGGCCTGTGCTGGGTCTGGGGTTTATGAGGAGCAGAGGAAAGGCCAGAGGACTGAATTACCTGGGAATGAGCGGAACAGGAGAGACTGAAAAGGGAGGGAGAGATGCTGGAGGCTCAGGCTTCATATCTCTCCAGAGTCCTGCTGTGGAAACAGTAGCTTCAGTGTGTCATTGAGCTTGAAGGCAGCTGGACCAGGGATGGGGACACAGAGCGGGCAGTAGTGATGTGACCAGGAAGGATCAGAGTGCAGGACTCAGGAAGACCTTTGCCTTTAGAAGGCAAGGTAGTGAGAGTGGAAAGGGGCTATGGTTGGAAGTGACAAGAAGAGATCTGACTGTACCGGTGAGACCGAGTCCTCTGAGGAGGAGCAGGTGGTGGGTATTTAATGACAGGAGCACTGGGAAGGCGAAGACACTGGAGGGGAGTAGTTGCTCAACTGTGATGGCTGTCACCATGAAAAACGTTATCAGGGTCACTGCATGCCAGTCCACCTCTACCACCTCAAAGAAACAGCTTCAATCTGGATGCCTCCTCCCCACCCCTCAGTGGATTTGTGGCAGAGCTGAAAATCAGGTCTGTGGTGGGGGACAGAGTGATCAGTGAGGCCCAAGTACTAAAGCAGGAGGTGAGCCAGGAAGAGTGGCTTGGTTGCCTGATGCCTGGCTGACTCCCCTGGCTGGCTACACAGTGTTCCTGTGCACTGTCTATTTATGTTGGGCCTTCCATACAACACCACTGTCAGCACAGTAGGCTGGGTACATCCCACAAGGCGGGCTTCCTGGTGAGGGCTCTCTCCTCTCCAGAACGGTGGTTGTTTTGATTTGATTTGCTAATTGACTTCTTTGAGCAGATTCTGTGAAGTGTATTTTTTATTATGTGACCACAAAGTGTCTTCTTGGTTAGCTTTATGATTAGACAGAGATTTCAAATCTTAGATGCCTGGCACAGTCAGCTTTCCTAGACTTGACCAACGGCCCTGCGTGCTGGACATGCCTTCTCATTCCTCTTGAGGTCAGCCAGAGGGGAGGACTTGGGCTTTCTCGGGTCTTTCCTGAGCTTGTTCTTAGCCCTGCAGCAGCCTTCCAGATCCCCAGGAATATGGAGGAGCTTTTCACGTCCCTCTCACCCCACCTCCCACTGTGGGATTTCATTCCCTAGTTTTCCTTTTGAGTAAGCCTTGGCTGGATGCCCCTTTGAGGGGGTTTCTTGTGATGGGGAGCAGCAGGGAACGGGTGGCCCTAAAAGCAGTGGATGCAAGTGTCCCTTAGCCAGTGAGGCAGTCTGGAGACTGTCCTTTCCCCATCCTGGTTCTTGTCCCACCTCCTCCAAGAATGGTGTAGGCAGACAGCAAAAAGTACACACGGGAGGCACGGTATTGTCAGTTCTGGATTAACAATCTTACATGGGATAAAACAACTTTAAACGGATTGCCACTTAGGATTTAAATGAAACAGGTTTGAACTCTAGATAACAGGGAGTTGCTGGCCAAGAGCTGATTCAGTTTTGAGTGTATTGCAGCTCAAAGCGCTCAAAGGCCTTGGGATGCCAACCAAGAGCTGTCCCTTGCAGAACAAGTCTGCAAGTCTGAGAGGTGTTATAGCTCTGGAAGACTTTGGAGCAGCAGGTCTCTGAAGTGGTGGGTGGTCTCAGGAGCTAGAAGGAATTCCTGGCTATGGACCTTGATTGGTTGAGAAAGGGCATGCAAATAAGGGGAAAGAATAGGACATCAGGGAAGAGCAGTAGAGCCTGATAGAGAAGGGAGAAAACCCTGAGCCCACCAAAAGTTCCAAAAAAGTTCAGTCACTTGTGGGGTCTGTCTGCGGATACTTGTTAGAATATTTCCGTCAATTCTGGTGGCCATGTCCCTGCTTCATTTAGAGATTTTTTTTCTCTTTTAGGCTATTGATGCCACACTAGCGTCAGAGTTCAGGGCTTAAGCCTGCTGGTGGTTAGGCGCCAGAAAGCTTGGTATCAAGGCCACGTACCCCCCCAACACCAGGACTGCCTCGGCCAGGCCTGGTGAGGGGATCCTGCGGGGGTGTGCTCCTTCACCTTCTGTGGGCAGGCGGGGATCTCGGAGCACCAGCTGCTGGGCGTGGCGCCGGTCTCGTGCATCGCGTTGCTGTTCGGGTCCCTGGCTCTCCGCGGCTACTGGATGCTGGCGAATCTGTGGGTCACTGCGCTTCCAGGCGAGTTCCGTTCCAAGCTACCGGGCACTCCCTCTATGTATGCGATCCGTTGGCCACCGGGTCACGAGGGGAGGTGCAAGAACAGGCGAAAGCAAGATCTTCGCGAGTGGCTGTTTACGAAGGGACAGCCCCGTCCAGGGAGACTGAATCGTAGGCAGTAAGACACAGAACTCAGCTCAGTCAGACTCAGTGGTACAGCTCCTTTATTCAGTGACTCAGCTCAGCTCCAGGTCTTAGTGATTCAGCTCTGATTAATTAGGGGAAACCAGGATATTTATAGTGTGGAGGCAGTAGCAAAAGCCTTAGTTGATAGGTGCTTTGTAGGATGCCCCATTTACATGTGGTGGTGGGCTTCTGCCAGGCTGCCAGACATTGCATGATTATCACACAGGAAAACCTGGCAGTTTCAGAGCCAGAGGCCATGTTTCCGTGTGGC